AGCACTGAGCCAAACTCCTGGAATCCAGTTTCAGAGAGGGGGGAGTGACAATCAAAGAGGTCAAGACCATGCTGGAAAAACTCACATAAACAGCTGACCTGAGCAAGTGGGAACTCATGGACCCCAGTCTGACAGCTGGAGAACCTACATAGGACCAAACCAGGCCCCCTGAACATGAGTGTCAGCTAGGCGCACTAGGCAGTCTTTGGGGCCTCTGGCAGTGGAACCAGGATGTATTCCTAGTGCATGAATGGACTTCGGGAGCTCATTTTCCATGGAGGGATACTCTCTTAGCCTAGATACACAAGGGAGGGCCTAGGCCCTGCCCCAAATGTCTTGACAGCTTTTAATGATTCCCTCATAGAAGGCCTCCTCCTCCCTGGGGAGTCGATGGGAGATGGGATGGGATGGGGTGTCGGTGAGGGGCATGGGAGGATGATATGTAAAATAAAATTGTTTCTAATTTAAATAAAATTTATTTTAAAATGGTGGAAATCATTAATTTATTCCTGTAAGAAAGCAAAGTTTAACTATAATAACAAAGCAAAGGAAGCAGATAACAACCTTGGGTTGATGTTGGTTATTTTATCTGCTTTCGTATCTGGATATCAGATGAGCAGTTGCATCCAGTTTGCTAACTGCCCGCACTGAGCCACTCTGGACACCTGTGGTCCCATGTTTAGCATACAGTATGTTCTTTGTAAAATACCTGGTGACTGGATTAATATCTGGGTGCTCCTGGTATCAATGAGGGTGACAGGGTGATTGGATGAAGGCAAAATAGCTGGACACTCTCATGGAGGTGGACATTAGTAAGGATGGCACTGTCAATTCATGGCATACAGTCAAAAGTCACAAGAGCCAGGATCTAAGAGAAGCTTCCAAATTCAAGTTAATGAAATGTTGAAATATTTTTAAACTACAAAGTCCCATCTCAGGAAGTAGTAAATAGGCCATCACAGAAAATGTTTAAGCAGTGTTCAACACTGTCCCTACGGGGATTTGACAGAGAGACTTCAAACATCTTGTGGGAAACTGGACTCCAAGGTCCCATCTCCCTAAAGCCTGTGAGTCTAAATGATAATGAATCAATTCCAACCCACCCCCTCTGGAACAACATTCTCAAATATATTAACTGAGATTTATTACCTGTTTCCTGGAAAATTTTCTTAGTTTTACTCTTGGAAAATTGGAACTTTCAATGTAACCATGCTTTGGTGGCTCGAGGAGAACAAATTCGCAGTCAACACTCTCAAAATACTTGCTTGGAATTCTGAGGTGGTCTGGTAGAAGTGCCTTGGAGCCCCCTTCCTGAACTGTGAAATTCTGTACCTCCAGTGGTATCCACTTAGGAACGATATCCAAATGTATTTCCACTCTCCTTACAAAGTGGGAGTCCTTGTTCACATCTAAGGTGAACTGATCCTTTTGTTGGCCAGGAGCTGTTTGTACATAAAGGACATTGCCATCATCAATATCCTTCCATGTGAAGCTCAGAGGGGACTTCCCATCTGTGCCCACACTGCCGTCTTCTGTGGTAGATTTTTGGAGGTATCCATGCTTTGGTGGAGTCCTGACTGTGAACACTGTCTCTGAAGAGATATTGTCTTCATTCCCAGCCTTGTATTCACAAACACAACACGAGAAGAAAAGCACATGAAGAACTATAAGAGTCAAAGCCACTGATGAACCAAATGATTTCTCTTAATATTGACAAGTAGCCTAAGTTACAATCAGGGTGGTTGCACAGCTTAAGGCCGAGTTGATCTGGGGCCAATACCAATATCTGGAACATCAGCTCCGATCACAATAAATAAATTATGGTCAACAGCACTTGAGTAGCTATGAAACATTTGCACACAGCAGTAAAATCCCTGAATATTCTAAAAATTAAGGTAAAAGAATTAGATGTCATAAGGAGAGGGTTGGATGCTTGCCTAGCATCTAGCATGTGCAAGGCCATGGATTTGATCTCCAGCATCACGGCAGGGAATTATAAAGAGAAAGAATCAAAGATGGTTTAAGGAAGAATAGTTGCATCACTAAAATTACACAATTGTAGAGGAAAGTGATTTTTCCGTTTAGTTCTACTTTCAGTAGCTCAGCATTTCCTATGCATTTTCATTTTATTGATTCAGCAATGTCCATTTAGAAACAGTATTTGCAACTGATTTACAGTCACAAGAGGGAACATGCCCCCTTGTGGCGAAACACATTAACTCTCTAAGCTTGAAAAAAAAATGAGAAAAGCTGGTCCCTTCTATTCCCTTAATCAAGACTCCTCATTTGCCAAACTGATTGTAGCTCACACGCACCTCTGATATTACTGGTTACTCTTGGACAGCTTGCCTGCAGTCCTAAAGGCAGTGTTCGAACAGCCTGTGTGTCTGGCCAACTGTTAAAAAATACAGCTTGCCCATTCTACACCCTAGAGGAGATTCCCTAAAAACAACAGCCTGGTCAAACTGATCCATAAGGCTGTGCCTACTAGAAGTTTCAAGGTAGGAGTCTGAGGGAAATCTGTAGCTCTGCTCTCATCCTGGTACTGCTCCACTGGTCTACATCAGTTTCAGGAAACTAAATATGGCCACATCCAGAAATAAAGAAAGAGACTGTGCAATGGGAAATCCTTTTTATGTTTGTTAAACTACTACTCCCCCGAAACATAGATTAACCCATATCAAATGAAATGTTGCTAGTACTGCTGTTAGCAACAAATAAAAATACAAATCTCTGAATTTATCATAATATATACTTCCCTTCCTTAGTCCTACTTCATACTACACTAAGTATGGGCACACACATGAATGTGTACGTAAACACGGCTTTAATATAAGGCTGAACGCTGTGCAGATTTATTTCCAATTGTGGGAAAACTGGCAGAATCAAACTGCAAACCTCCTAACTTTTCATCTCAGTGGCACATAAATATGTATATAAGTGTGTGCAAACATACAATAGAGCTATTCCCAGTACTGTCAGTCACACACACACACACACACACACACACACACACACACACACAGGGTGGGGGGAGACAGAGAGGGTATTCTCAGAAGCAAACGTATGGATTATTACCCCTTACTAGTCTAAGCCAGTAAGAATGCCCAGTGCTTTGGATGACGCCTACCTGGAGCTTTCCACTTCTCAGTTTTACTGGTTTTCCTTCTTCAACTGTAATGCTCCTGCTGTACAGAATCTGAGTGTACTGTTGGTGACTCTCCAAGGACACTTGGACACAAATGCTCACATCTAAGTAGGTATCTTTAACTTTCGCTGTCAAGTTAAACATATCGAAGTTCCCATCGCCATTATGCCTATAAATCACATATCCCTGCTTCAGGTCATGCTGGGAAAATGAGTGAAACACAGAATTGTTGACCAGGATTCTGCCATGTTTGGGGGGTTGCAAGATGTGGAATTCAAACTCATGGTCTGTTCTGACATCTTGGTTTGTGGTGATGCTCAGGTTGGCTGTTGTGAAGCAGCTGTCCCTCCCTCTGGACACAAGCAGCCCTGTGTTGTTGACTATGTGGACATAGGCCTCTGACACACTGACTTCGAAAAGGGATGACGTGTAATGGACACCATCTGTCACAAACAGCAGGAATCGGGCAGAGTCTGGACCATGATGCCTGAAGAGCACACGCCCTTCCTGTAGGTCCTCTTGTCTGAACTGGTAGAGCTTCTGAGACGGGTCACTGGCTTTCACCAAATCTCCATTTGGTATGCCACGCCGAGTGTAGAGCAACTGCCCATCATCAAAATTTAAGTCAGGGTCATGGTAACAGAGGTCTGCTAGTGTCAGTAAGCGCTGGCTGCCCCGCACAACATGAAATACCTTATCAACCACTCGTACTGGCTTCTCATCATTCTTCAACTCAATAGAAATGCTGACTTTGATTTCTGTAGATGTGTATTCAGAGTCAAGACTTCTGACCCCTCCCTGTTGACCCAGATCTGTGGCAGAGGCCAAAACAATGAATTCATCACACTGGGTCTCAGAGTCATCGTGAACATATATCAGCTTTCCACCCACTATGTCTTCATCTGTGAACCCATTGATGCTACTGTCACTTCCCAGAGAAGCTGAAGAACTGACTAATTTCAGTTTCCCATGCTGAGGACTCTTTGTGACTTCATATTGGAAGACACGATTGTCTGATGTTTGAACAAATAATTCTGATTTTGTGATTAATGTCCATTCTCCTTCTTTTACAAACAACCCAGTGTTGGTTAAAATGATGTGAGTTTTATCTGCTTTAAGGTTTATCCTGAAAGTATAATCTTTTGATTCTATGTGTTTTACAATAATTGAAAAACTAAAAGCATCCTGTGAGTCTTCCCTGGATCTCCCCTGAGGCTCATAGCTTACTTTGGAGTCTGTAATGTTTTTTTGACTGAAAATTGAACTTGTTTGAAGAACTTCATTGCCGAGTAGCAAGTTTCCTTTCTTAGGTGGGCTCAGTAACTTGAAATATAGTTCCTGCTCAGCTACCTCCACATTCTCTGTTGCAGCCTGCAGATGGCCAGAATCCAATACTTTCTTGTTTTCCTTCCTAATCTCTAGAGGAATATTTTTTAGAAGTGTCAATTTCAGCAGCTGAACGGTGACAGGAAACAGGAGCTCTTTGCTTTCTCTCCCTTCTATGATCACTTTAAATTTAAAGTGATCTGTAACATTTCCTTGCTGCTGTTCTTTGAAAGAACTATAGTATCGGATCCAACCCCAGTCAATGGAACGTTGAGAAAAGGTACTAACTTGTTCCCATTCCCCGTTGGATCCCAGATGCTGAATTTGGCCAAACTGAGGTGGACGAGTGATCTCATAGAGAGTGTCCATGTCATGTTGTTCACCATTCACCTTCACTGACAAGTCACTCTGCGTGATCAGGACTGTTCCACCCTGTTGTACCACCATGTCACTCCTACCTGCCACTTCAAAGTCCCAAGGAACAGCCATGACCCGTAACACCACAGTATTGCTAACCAGCTCACCGTCTGTTGCTCTCAGCACAATCCGAGAGTTTCGATTACCCTTGTGCACGTAGAAAATATTGCCATGTTGTAAATCCACCTGTGTAAAACCATTGATGGCTCTCCCAGGGTTGTTGGCACTTTCTAAAAACCCAACATCTGCATTGAAATTGCTAAGAACCAAAAGTCTGAGATGCTGAGAGTCGGTGTCAGGGTCTGACACCTGTAACACATTGGGAGTCAGTTGTTTCTTAGAGTTCTCGAAGAGAAGCAAGTGTCCTTCTGGGAGCTTAAGGTATGGGGGGTCATTCACTGGAATGACAATAATGTTAAAAACATTTGGAGTGGGATCCTGCAACTGGGATGGTATTGCCCTCTTGCTGCTAGAAAAAACCCCAAATGTAAAAGAGTCTGTAGGCTCTTCCGAGCCATCGTGGATATACCACACTTTCCCACGCCTCAAATCTAACATAGTAAAAGTCCTCTCCATTTCTTGTGCAGACCGAACATCTATTTGAAGGAAACCATGAGTTGGCATTTCCTGTATTTTAAATAGTATCTGGGAATAGTTGATACCCAGTCCCGTAAAGTCCATATTCACTTTTATATGCCTCTGTCCCAGTAAGGCCCGTCCACCTTCTTGGACTTCCAACTTATTCAAAACCAAAAAGCTGCCACTTTGATTTTTCAGAAGAGAGCTGTCACTGGGAACTGCAATGGAAGGGGATGGCTCTGGCTGAAACAGGTCTTCCATTGTCACAGAAGGATCTGTATCGTGGACACTGTCATTTGTGCACCCAGCAGAAACATCTTTGGAAACAAGCGCATCCTTTAATGCTCTCTTTTCCAAGTTTGCTTCCAAGGCTCTCAGGCATCCTTTTAGAGAGATGCCTCGAACAGATTTCCCAGGCACAGACACAAGTTCTAACCCCCGCACTGTTTCCCACATCCGGTGATTCAGGCCTCCCACAAACAGGGGGCCTTCAGAAACAAACGCTTGGCTTTGCAGAGGCAGCGTGGCTCTCACCCCTTGTTCATCTACCATGAGGTCCAGATGCCTCCTCGTGACTCTGAGTTGAACAATGTGCCACTTGTTGTCACTAACCAAGCGGAAAGATGAAAGTTGAGTTTTTGTCTCCCCCCTTCCTACATGAGCCTTCAGTAGACCCTCATGTATTTCCAAGGCAACAAAATCTCTTCCTCTACCTGACTGAAATGAAAGCAAGGCTTGTTGGGTTCCAGTTTGCACAGCAAATCTCAGTGTCCCTTCCCCCTGTACCCTCCATTCTGGAAAGGTGACATAGGACCTAGAGCTGAAAAAGCTAATAGCTTCATTCTTCCCAGCAAAAAACTCATCATTACATCCCAGTGACACCTCATAAACCTTCTTGAAACCAGGGAAAGACCTAAGGGATGTAAGGACCTCCCTCTGGTTAAACAGCACACCCTCTATGCATCCTCGGAAGTTGGGGGTCCTTCTGTCTAAGTAAGGAACATTGAGTCCCCCACGACCTCCCACATAGATTCCATGGTGAAATGTGAAGTTATGCATCCCCCCATCCAGTTGGCTAGTTGTCTCATAATGCTTGTCAACAACCAAGAAAACCTTATCCTTGCCATAGTACAGTTCCACTGAATGCCAAACCAAATTGTCCACACGAAGTCTTTGCTCAGAAAGAAGGAGCTGCTCACCCGGGCCCACGCTTATTTTCACCTAAGAGAGACAAGAGCCATAATTAATGAACCTCATCAAGATAATCATCTCGGAGTGTTTTACTGGGGGACTGGCATTGCTATGGTTTGGCCCTACTAATGGTGCAGCCTAAATACCGAACCCAGCAGGGCTGAGAGGGGCCGAGGCCTCAAAGACCTGATTGGGATGTTTAAAAGGGCTTAATGCAATGCTCTTCAGGAGAGTGAGTTCTCTTAAGGAAATGGATTGGTAACATGGGGTGGTGTCAGAAAGCAGGTTTGCCCCTTGCTTCCTCCTTTCACCAGAAGCCAAGCAGACTTTACCATCATCCTCTTACACACCCAGAAATGAATCTGCTGTGTATTTCCTTCATAAAGTAACCTAAATTACCCAGCCTCTGGTATGTTATTATTGCAAGGCAAAGTGAGGGAGGGAGAATAATAATGAATTTGGACATGAAAATCTTCTACAGTTATGGATTTCATATTGAAGTGAAAATTTCCAAAGTCAGAATATTTAAGACACGGTGGAAAAAAATGGAGACAATCCCACCCTAAATAAATGGTATATCACTTTATTCTAGTGAGAAATGGCTTGTTTCTTTTTCTGTTGCTTTGTGTTCTCTAGTAACTGAATGCTTATATATTTTAAAGATAAAATAATAATACCTGTAATATTCCTGACAGAAGTTCTATTAGGCAATAGTCAATTTTCCCAGCTGCAAGAAACAGCAAGCCTTGTGACTTGCTCGTTTGAAATCTCAACTGAAGCGACAATTCAGAGGAAACTTCTGTGATGCTGAGCCCCACGTAGCTCTCACCATAAAAGGATGCTTTGGGAAAGAAAAATACTGGTCAGTAAACTTGCTATACAGTGACTATGCTTTATATTCTCTTCATAGACTGACCCTGCCGAAGAAAGCTGCCTTGCCAAAGTCCACTCCCACTGTCTTGGGAGGCCCACCAACCCAGCATGTCTGTATCAAGACACAGCATTCTCTTCCCTATCTCGGGACAGCTCTGAGGGGCTCCTCTTCACTAGAACCCTCCAAAGGAGCAACCAGGGCTTTCACTAACCCTAAAGAGGAACTTGAATTCTTTATCTGCACAAGTCTGCTCTCTTGCCTTGTTCGAGACTTGATTCAAAGCTCCCCCTGATAAAACTCTTGCATATTAGTTCCATCTCAGATTTAGCTTCCCAGGGAACCTGACTGGCACTAGAAGTAGCCTTAAAAAGTAGACTCTGGAAGGGACTCGACGCTGAACCACCCTCAACTGAAATAACAATTAGGATGAGTGTTACTGTCGATTGGTGGGGCCCAGGAAATCCTGGCAGTGATGTTAAAGTTTCATTAGTCATGAACTTGCATGGCACAGCAGTGACAAAGTGCATACTAGTCCAGCCATGAAACGCTAAGCAATAAAAAGCAAAGGGCAAATATAACTATGAGGACAATGAAACTGGGTACTGACAGAAAGACAAGCCAAGGGAGGTTAGTGTCAATCATGACCTTTGTCCTCATTTCCCACAGGAGGAGAACAGAGGATGTTAAGATTCACACCAAGGAACCAATCATTAGAGTGGCCAAGCTCAAAAAGTCTCAGCTAAACAACCTCCATCTGACAAGGTGAAGGCTCTGGTTAGATCAAAGCCGAACACTGCCATATGAAACTGGAAATCCACACTGATGCCATCAAGCAGCTTGACTCTCAGACCTGCCTGAGCCCTCTGATTCAGCAGATGTGGGTTAGCACCTCAGAGTTTGCAGAGTTGCAGGTATCTCTCCACAAGATACTATGGGACCTCTGAAGATAGACCCCATTGCTTCTGCCAACAGTGAGATCCAAAAGCAAAGGGCAAGTCACGACTCAACCTATGGGGGGGAGAATCATGGTTGGCTGCCTGGATGTGGAATAGATAATGCAGACTCAAAGAGGGTGTCCATTTAATTATCTTAGATGCCTCTTAGCAATAAATAAATGAAGGTGGTCACCAAGGCATGCTGGCAAAGGCTCAAAGGAGTGAGTTGTAACATCAGGTGGCCACTGAAGCAAGAAGAAGTATTAGTTGGAATAAGGATCTACAGTGAATTAGTAGGTAAAGGAAAATTACCACTCAGATATGGCTCCCTGGCTTTACATGACAGAGTTAATCCAAGTGATATGTGGGGTAGCCCATGGTAGACTCTGAGACAGGCACTTTGATGAAGGACTTTGGACTCTGGTTGGTATGAATGCTATTGGAAAACAGTCCCCAGCATCTTCAGAACCTTCTAGCCTAGTTGAGACTGTCACTGAGATGACATCACAGCCTAACCCCTCTCTTCCCAATCAGCCTCCTTCTCTGCCCTTTACCCAGAGGTCAATCCAAAAACACAGGCTCTCTGAGGTTCTCTAGCCTGTCTTTAACTGTGACCCATTGAAGTGACAATTTGTGCATTCATCATCTGCACTAGTCCATGAGTTTTCTAAGGTGAAGACTATATCTTGTATATCTTTGTCTCTCTGGTACCTGGCACAGTCCCTAGCACACAGGGGATATAATAAGTTCTGTTGGTTCCCCTTTTGGTAGGCTACACAGACACATCCTTCCATTGAATTGCCTTGTGCAAAAACTCTAGGAAACCATACCAGTTAACCCAGAAGACTAGCCAGTGACTGATTGAGACAGAGCTCAGTGTTAACATGCATGATCTAGAGCCACTGTAGGATCAAGCTGAGAATGCATCAGCTGACACCACACCTTTGCTTTGTGACTCCTGCCCTCTATTGCTTCTATCACTTCTTTACATTTTCCCATGGGAGAAATCACTCAGATTCCTCCTATCTCAGTCTCTCTGGCTAAGGAATCTGACTTGACAGATATGTAGAGCAAGCATGCATTTATTTAACTGGATTACCCTGGTTTAGTAAACCCTTCGTTTTATAGTTGAGCAAAATTGGATCTAGCTTAGGAATTTAGAAAAAGTCAATGGTTGGTTAGAGCTAAGGGGAAAAGCAACAGTTTAGTTGTTTTTCTGGTTTTATTTGTGCTTTTTTTTATTACCAAAACATTAAGTTTCTACAAAGGTGAATATAGCCTCTGCAGAGTTTTCCAGATACCATAAGCACTATATCTGTTAGAATGGTCACAAAAGTAGAGAGAGGGAGATGGCAGGTTTCTGGAAACTCAGAGTCCCTCACCATCTGAGCCCCATCCTTCTCAGGTCCTTCCATATGTCTCAAGGGACCTAGAGTTTACACCTAGAGTTTACAACCACCTTTTTCAGAGAAAAGTTGACCCATTTCCAAAGTCAAAGAGACAGTCTCGGTGAGCAAGATGGCCACACAGATGTGCCCAGTACTCACCTCCTCTTCCACAAGGAGGAGCCACAGCAAGAGCTGAAGAGCCATTCTTGGAGTTAAGTGACCCCAAACAACTGGACCTCAGCAAGGTCTCTCCCTGACAGTCAACCCTTGAAAGACTCTGTAAGACCTGGGATCACAGTATAGAAAGAAATATAAAGCATCCCATCTCGTGCCACTAGGCTTTCCAGCCAGGGGAGGGGGATTCTGCTGTGTGGGGAAAAAATTAACGTAAGTGCCCTGGCAAACTCCATGATGGCCACTGCTGGCAATCATAACTCCTGGGACGTTTCCTAGCCATCACAGGTTTGCAAACTGGTTAGGGCAGAAAACTGGAGCCTACACAGCAGCTTTGCTTTTAAAAAGGAATTCTCATCCTCTCCTCCTGAACTTCCATAGCATAGGCTCTCGTGGCTTGGTCCCAGCTTAAGAGGGAGTTGTTGTCTAATAGTGCTGGAGGGAGTGTAAACCCTTGTTCACTTTCATCACCAGGCACCATAGTTGAAGGAAGGACTGCAGCCTCACAGACCCAACTTGACCCAGCACAGCAGCTGTAACCCTAGCATCTAAGACTTCTCCACACCCAGCATTGTAGGGACAGACATCTCACATCTCACATAGAATGATGGGGAGTTCACCTTCCAGAACTGAGAGTCCACAGCGTTTATCCACTGGAAACAAAGAGTATGCAACCATACATGGACTCGGGCCAATACCAGGCCGGAAGGTACTGAACCACCCAAATAGTCTCAACCAATGGATAAACCCTGTGCTGAGTTTGATGCTTTCTACTCTCCCTTTGGGGTCAGAAGACAGTGTCCAAAGCACTTATGCAATCCCACCCCCATAATCCACAAATGGCATAGATCCCTCTACTACAATGGTTCTCAACCGTGGGTTGCAACTCCTTTGAAAATCCTCTATCTCCAAAAATATTTACATTACAATTCATAACAGTAGCAAAATGACAGTTATGAAGTAGCAACGAGACAGTTTTATGGTTGGGTCAGCACAACATGAGGAGCTGTATTAAAGGGTTGCAGTATTAGTGAGGTTGGGAACCACGCTCTGCTATCATTGTCCTGCACCATACTACCTTCTCACCTGCAGGAGGATGACTCCAGTTGTTGGAGCCACAGGGAAACCCTGCCTCGAAAAAGCAAAAAAAAAAAAAAAAAAAAAAAAAAAAGAAAAAAAAGAGACAAAAAAAAAGATCCAATGTTTCAGAGGTGAACAAGGCAAGTAAGATTGATTGTTTCATTGTTCTCTTAAAGGTGTGTTAAACAAACAGGCTGGTTATAGTCTTAAGTGTCCTCAAGGTGTGTTAGTAACTCTGGCTGTGAGGTTCAACCTCTGGCTGTGAGGTTCAACCAAAGGTCTAGCCTCTTAGAAAGTAAGAAATATTTTATTGGGGGGGGGGAGTTGAGACAAGGTTTCTTTGTGGCTTTGGAACTAGCTTTTGTAGACCAGGCTGGTCTCGAACTCACAGAGATCCACCTGCCTCTGCCTCCTGAGTGCTAGGACGAAAGGCGTGCACCACCACCGCCTGGCATAAGAAATATTTTATCATATTGCATTGCCATGCCTACTAACGTCATTTGATCTAGAGTATAAAGCAAGAGCAAAGAGAAAAGGGGCGACTTCCTTATTGTCCCTGCTTATATATGAGCCTGCCTGCTATGTCACTTCCTGCCTGTATCACAAGATTTCTTTTTACTACATTTTACAATAAATGAAGAATTCTCAGCATACAACCTGATGATACATCTCAAGGACCTAGGAGTAAATCAAACCCCAAGTTAGTAAAAGGAAAGAAATAACAAAGACCAGGGAAAAATTAAACAAGATATATTCTAAAAACAGATAAAAGATCAGTGAAGCAAAGGGTTTTTTAAAAAAATAAATAAACAAAAGTGATAAAATAAAATACCTAGAAATAAATTTAGCCACGGAAGTGAAAGGAAAATTAGAAAGAAATTGAAAACATGCACAGAAAAGAAAGGCATCTCATGTTCATGAATTGGAATAATTCGAATTATTAAAATGTCTATATGCCATCTTAGGTGATTTGCAGATTCAAGGTAATTTCTATCAAAATACCAATGATACTCTTCACAGAGCTAGAAAGAAAATCCTAAATTTTATATTAAATACCAAAGACTCCAAATATTTTTTAAGGGTCTGAGGCATAACAATACCTGATTCTACAATTCTACAGTGCAATGGTAACCAAACATCGTGGCACAGGTACACAGACACAAAGACCAATGGGACATAGGCATCCCAGAAACAAATCGATTCCCAATAAAGGCATCAAAAACATACATTGGAGAGACAGTACTGGGAAAGCAGAACCTTGGAACTTGACCCTCATCTCTCACCTTTGTACAAAAATCGACTCAGAATTATCAAGTGGAAGGACTCCAAAATCACATAAAAACCAGCAAAGACTGAGTTACCTCAGAATAAAAACAACTGACACAGAAGGGACAACTTAAAGGATGAGAGAAGATATTTGCCAACTATCCACCTGACAGGAGACTGGTATCCAAATACACAAGGAACTCAAAGGCTCAAGAGCAAAGTAAACAAGTTCCTACTAATGATCTGCACAGACACTTCTCAAAAGGAGAAATACAAATGGCCAACAGATGCGTGAAAAATGTTTGATGTGATGAGTGACTTGGAAAATTCAATTCAAAACTAGGATATCATCTTACCACAATTACAATGACTATTAACAAAACAATAACAAATGCTGCTAAGTATATGCAGAAGCAAAGGAACAGTTGTTAAGAAATGTAAATTAGGACAATCAATATGGAGATTCCTCAAAACAGTTAATAGATCTACCATAAGACCCAGCCTTCCCATTCTGACAAAATATCCAAGGGATGGAAGGTAAGCAAGGGATGACTTACATACATGTCCATGTTTTCTGCAGAACTACTCACAGTAGCTAAGAAAAATCAGCAGCAGACAAATGCATAAATGAAATTAGATAAATTGTGGATAACTGATATATGATACATAGATGTTTGACAGATAATGTTTAGATACATATTATATTATATTATATTATTATTTGGCCATAAAATAAATTACATCAAAATGGGTGGAACCAGGGAACATTAGGTTAGTGAAGTAATAAGCAAACATGTTCTGTCTTGTCTGTGGAAGTCTTTTTTATCTTTTTATCTTCTTTTGTTTTTTTCCATCCTTAATGTAGGAAAGAGATAACTAGGAGCTTGGAGGAAGGAGAATAAAGGGAGGCTGGAATTGATCAGTACCCCCTGTTTGTACTTGTAACACACATAACTTATAAAAATATGTTCAAAAGGCCAATCAATGTCAATAAACATATGAATAAGTAAACTCAGTGTCAGAATATAGAGTTAAAGTCATTAAGATAAAGCAAGCAACCATAAACCTCCCAGTCAGCGGAGTTTATTCTCCTGAATGTCTCCACATCCCAATTGCTGACAGGCTGTATTGTTAAGCGTTCAAAGCCAGGAAATGTTTTCTAAATCATAAGATCTACTGCTGAGATGACTAAATAGCATTCGTAAACAATATCCTTATATTTTCCCACGTTTCACCTCTCTGGCACTAGTCAATTCCAGTCCTAGCTGGCAGCTGGAAAATTCCATGTCTCCAGAGGAAAACAAGGAAGTGGGTTTAAAACTTCTGGTTTGACCATCTGAAGCCCCTTGATGTCCTCAGTTACCTCCAGGTTGACCCCATCTTCTCGGCCCCTGATACACGTCTCAGAATAAGAACAAACAGGAGGGGCTGGAGAGGTGGCTCAGAGGTTAAAAGCACTGACTGCTCTTCCAGAGGTCTTGAGTTCAATTCCCAGCAACCACATGGTGGCTCATAACCATCCATCCATTACGAGATCTGGTGCCCTCTTCTGGTGTGCAGATATACATGGAAGCAGAATGTTGTATACATAATAAATAAATAAAATCTTAAAAAAAAAAAAACCACCCATTTCTTAAAAAAAAAAAAAAAAGAACAAACAGGAAAGCAAGTGAAATCAGTTCCCATAGGGAAAGGAGATCTGACTTACGGTGAAGGCATTCTAGCGTCTAATCAGGTTGAACAGAAATCTGAAGATGCTGTCCTTGATCTGTGTGCTGAAATAAGTGGTAAAATGCCCAATGCCAATGCTGTTTGGTAAGAAGGTAGCTAAAACACAGTGCTCCTAGAAGGCAAATATTTATTTTGGCCTGCGATTTCTCCCAAGAGACAATTTTCAGTCATCATATTTACGCTACAATTGACTCTAACTCATTCTCCCAAACTCTTCCTAGTTTTTTGTTGGATTTCGGTTTTTTGTGTTTGTTTTGGTTTGGATTTGGGTTTGACTTACTCTTTACTGAGTGCTTAGCATGTGCCAAGCATTGTCAAGAGCAGAAGGTAAATACTTAATTTAACAGCTGGCTGCCTATGAGAGTAAAAAGGTTCCCAGAAAGAAGAGTGCCCTGCAATGGTGGAGATGGTAGGATGGGAGCTGCTCTGGGTGACCTACAGAACAAGGGAACAAGAGAAATCAAAGCAATCTGTCTTTCCCAGGTCCACAAAGGAGCCCAAGGATTTCCTTTGGTACTGACGATTAAAAGGTAAACACGAGACTGCTGCTGTTTTACTTTTCATTGCTGTGATTGAAATACCTGAGGAAAGCAACTTAAGGGAGAAGGGGGTTATTTTTTCTTACAGTTTCAGATAGACACATTTCCTCCTGGCAAGGAAGACATGGAAGCAAGCAGAGACACTGTGGTGGCAGGAGCAGGAAGCTAGTTGGTCACACTGCATCCACACTCAGAATGAAGAGTGAAAAGTGAGGCCAGGCCAGTAAGCCTCAAGGGTTGCCCCAAGTGACACTTCCTCCAGTGAGGCTCCACTTCCTGAAGTTTCCACACTTTTCCAAACAGCACCACCAGTTGGGGGCCAAGTGTTTGAACAAATGAACCTATGGGGGGAGGTGGGGCATTTCACATTCAAACCACAATAGATAATCAAGCAATCACAATTTCTAATCATCA